CTGCTTAAAAGGTTTAAATTATTTCTACCATTTATGGACCTATTATATATACTGAAGATTCAAGAAATTATCATTGATTCTTTTTCTGCATTTGCTATGAAATTGGATTATAAAGTATGTATTATACAATAAGAATTGATTTTTATGCATCAAAGTCAGACACGTAATTTAGAATTTGTGACGACAGTGGGTATATTTCTCACTGAGAAATAGAATAAAAACAAAATTTCTATTCTTTTCTTAGATCATAGTCAAGCTTCATCCATATACAGACTATTCTCAAATTTTGTGATAATATTAAATCTCACAAAAAACTATGAGTATATTTAAGAAAAACACTGTTATTCTTATCGAACTAGTTATTAGCTGGGGTTCTGGACAACATGGCTTTTCTCCAAATATAACTGTTTTAAAACATTGCTTTCTTTATTGTTGTGACTAACAAACCCAAAGTAAAAAGTATGCTACACATTTTAGTAAGACTTTAATTAATCTGCCTTTGAGGTCCTCCAAGAGAATCTGCTAGCTTGGCATTGGCATAAAAACAGATACATGGACCAATGGAATAGAATTGAAGACCCTGTCATTAACCCACACACCTATGAACATCTGATTTTTGACAAAGAGGCCAAAACTGTACAGTGGAAAAAAGCATCTTCAACAAATGGTGCTGGCATAACTGGATGTCAAAACATAGAAGAATGCAAACAGATCCATATCTGTTTCTATGTGCAAAACTCAAGTCCAAATGGATCAAAGACCTCAACATAAATCCAGCTACACTGAACCTGATGGAAGAGAAAGTGAGAGGCAGCCTTGAACACACTGGTACAGGAGTCCATTTCCTTAATAAAACACCAGCATCACAAACACTGAGAGCAACAATTAATAAAGGGACCTCCTGAAACTGAGAAGCTTCTGTAAGGCAAAGGATATGGTAAATAAGACAAAACAACACCCTACAGAATGGGAAAAGAGCTTCATCAACCTCACATCTGACAGAGTATTGATCTCCAAAATATATAAAGAACTCAAGAAACTAGGCATCAAAATACCAAATAATCCAGTTTTAAAATGGGGTACTGATCTAAACAGTGAATTCTCAAGAGAAGAATCTCAAATGGACAAAATTCATATAAGGAATTGCTCAACATCCTTAGTCATCAGGGAAATGTAAATCAAAATGACTCTGAGATATTACACCTGTCAGAATAGCTAAGATCAATATCACTGATGATAGCCTATGTTGGAGAGGATGTAGAGTAAGGGGAATACTCCTCCACTGTTAGTGGGAGTGCAAACTTGTACAGCCACTTTGGAAATCAGTATGGTGGTTTTTCAGAAAATTGGGAATCAATCTACCTCAAGACCAAGCACTACTACTCTTGGGCATATACCCACAGAATGCTCATTCATACCACAGGAACACTTGCTCAACTATGTTCATAGTAGCATTATTTGTAATAGCCAGAATCTGGAAACAACCTAGATTCCCCTCAGCCAAAGAATGGATAAAGAAAATATGGTACAGTTTTCTATACATGTATACATTGTACATACAATGGAGTATTAATCAGCTCTAAAAACAATAACACCATAAAATTAAAAGGCAAATGTATGGAACTAGAAAAAATAATCCTGAGTGACTCAGAAAGACAAACATGGTATGTACTTATGCATTTATAAGTGGATACTAGATATAACTCGAAGGATAACCAGACCACAATCCACAGCTAGGTAACAAGGAGGATCCTAAGAGGCACCATAGATCACCCTGGGAAGGGGAATGAGATGGAATCTTCTGGATAAACTGGAAGAGGGGGACAGTAATGGAAAAGGCATGGGGGATGAGAACATGAGGGAATGGGACGGTCATGTTGGGGGATGGATGGAACCGGAGAGCAATGAAAGAAATACCTTGATAGAGGGAGCCATTATGCCTGGCGGTGGTGGCTCAACCATTAATCCCACCACTCGGGAGGCAGAGCCAGGTGAGTTCGAGGCCAGCCTGGGCTACAGAGTGAGTTCCAGGAAAGGCGCAAAGCTACACAGGGAAACCCTATCTCGGAAAAAACAAACAAACAAACAACCAAATAACTAGATAGATAAAAGAGGAAGCCATTACAGAGTTAAGGAGAAACCTGATGCTAGGGAAGTTACCAGGAATCCACAAGGATTACCCCAGCTAAGACCCCTAGCAAGAGTGGAGAGGGTGCCTGAAATGGCCTTCCGCTGTAATTAGATTGGTGACTACCATAACTGTCATCATAGAACTGTCATCCAGTAACTGAAGGAAGATTCAGATTCAGAGACCCACATCCAAGCACCAGGCTGAGCTTCAAGGGTCCAGTCAAAGAAAGGGAATAAGGATTATAGGAGCAAAGCTGGGTGTCAAGATCATGATGGGGAAACCCACAGAGACAGATGACCCAAACTTGTGGGAGCTCACAGACACTAGACTGACAGTCTTGGGGAGCATGCATAAGAATAAACTAGGCCCTCTGCATGTGGGTGACAGTTTTGTAGCCTGGTCTGTTTGTAGGATTCTGGGCACTGGGACCAGGATCTGTCCCTGGTGCATGAGCTGGCTTTTTGAAGCCTGTTCCATAGGGCAGGACACCTGCTCATCCTTTGCCTTACCCTTTCAGAAGAGTGGATGTGTTTGGTATGTAACATGAATAAAAAAATAAATTAATTAAAAGAAAAAAAAAGTCAAGCAAAAATATCCAGGAAATTTGGGCCACCATGAATAGAAGAAACCTACAGATATTAGGAATAGAAGGAGAAGAAACCTAAGACAAATACACAAAAATATTTTCAAGTAATCTTAGTAAAGCTAAGATTTTCAAGTAAATCTTAAATGGAAATTTCTCTAAGCTAAAAAAAGAGATACTTATTAAGGTACAAAATTTATACAGAACAACAAATAGACTGGACCACAAATGAAAGGGCTCTTGTCACATAATAATCAAATCACTACACGTATAGAACAAAGAAAGAGTATTGGAAGCTGCAAAAGAAAAGGACCAATTAACGCAAAGTCAGACCCATTAAAATAACACCTGAACTTTCAAGGGAGACTCTAAAAGCCAGTAGATTCAGGACATATGGTCTACAAACTCAAAGAGACCACAGAAGCGAGGTAAGAAAGTTTACCCAACAAAACCCTGAATCTCAATGTCTTAGTTTTAGTTTCTATGACTGCAATGTAATGCCATGCCATGCCCCGTCCCCAAAAAAAGGCTGAGGAGGAAAGGATTTATTCAGCCTATTCCAAGTCAGGACAAGAACTAAAGCAAGGCAGGAGCCTAGAGGCAGGAGCTGATTCAGAGGACATGGAGGGGTGCTGTTTGTTGGCTTGCTTCACATGGCTTTCTCAGCCTGCTTTCTTATAGAACCCAGGAACTCCAGGCCAGAGATAGCACAACCCACAGTAGGCTGGGCCCTCCCGCATTGATCACTGATTGAAAAAAAAATGCCTTGTACATGGATCTTTTGTAGGCATTTTCTCCATTGAGGGTCCTTCTTCTCTCATCAGAGACACTAGTTTGTGTCACATTGATATAAAACCAGCTAGTACACGCAATATATGGAGAAAGACATTTCATGATTTTTAAAACCAAATTTAAAAAGTATCTATCTAAAATCTACATCTACAGAGTTGCTGGAAGGAAAGCTTCAGCATGAAGATGTTAACCACACCCAGGAAAATACAAGGAGGAAATAATCTCAGACAAGAAATTCCAAAATTGCAGATAAAACACCCACATCAAAACAACAAAATAATGTGAATCAGTAAGCAATGCTCATTGATGAGTCTCAACCTCAATGATCACAGTTACCTGATAAAAAGACACAGACTAACTGGTTAGATTAAAAACAAAACAAAACAAAACAAAACAAAACAAAAACCCAGAATAAATCCTTAGCAGCATCCAAGAAACATACCTTAACGCCAACAATATACATTACATCAGAATAAAAGAATAGAAATATATATTCCAAGGAAATGGACACAAGAAGCAAGCCAGTACAGCTTAGTTAGTATCTGACATGATTAACTTCAAACAAAACTAGTCAGAAGACATAGGAAAAGAGTCTACATACTCATTAAAGGAAAACAAAGCACCAAGAGAAGATTGCAGTGCTCAATGTCTATGTATCAAAAACAAAAGAACCCAAATTCATTTAAAAAAAAACTATTACAGAAAAAAAAAATAGAACATATTGACTCTTACATAACACCAACAAGCAAATCACCTAGACAAAAAAATAAACAGAGAATTACTGGAGCTAACTGATATCATAAACCAAATGGTTCTAAAAGATATTTACAGAACAATTTTCCCAATCATAAAAGAATATACCTTTGTCTCAGCACCTCATGAATGGTTGCTCTCTATGAACAGATGTCAAGGCCAAAATGCTGAAGACAACAGCTCCACACAGTTCATTGAATATAGAGAAGTCATGTTGGTGCCCACCTAGAGCCCTGTCCCCTATGGCCTAATGCTCATACTACTGGAGATTACTACGCATGCTTTTCCAAGGAAATACACCAACACAGCTACAATGTCTTTAATCTACAGCGATAATGTGCCTGAAAAATGCTCTAAGGTAGCACAAAGCCTGTGGGAATAACAAACGAATATCTTAAATCTGATTAGATTTAAGGCCTAATCCATTATATGGAACCTGTCGCTGATGAAGATCAAGTATCCAAGACATGAGACCATACAGACCAGGGGATTAGGGGAAAAAAAAGAATACTACTGTTCAATTAAAAAACAAAAACATAGTCATAAAAAAAATCCTAACGATGTTCTCTTATATCCATAGATTGCTACCTTTCTCAGACATTATCAGAGATTCATCTTCCTGCGGTAGTTGGAAACAGAGACCCACGGTAAGGGAATGCACGGAACATTAGAGATCTTGGAATACTCAGTCCTATATAGGACATCACAATCAAATTCCTCCCCTCAAGGGTTATGGAACACTGTAGAAATGGAGGCAGGAAAATTGCAAAAGCCAGATGGGATGGAGGACATAAAACAAGGACCTCTAAACATAGCAGGACTAATGTATACCTGAACTTACAGGGACTATGGCATGATGTACAAAGACAGCACAGGTATGTTTGAGAAGGGATCCCAGTGCTGAGAGGAGAATTTAAGACATACCCTATTCATATTCTGGGAGAAACCCAGAAGCTTTCTCCAATTGATAACCACTAGCAAGTGAAACACTAGTTCTTTTCAGTAGAGTCTCGCTGGTGATATAAACCAGTCTCAAGGTCAGGCCCTATTCACAGCAGTAGATGGATAACAGAACAAACACAATGGCACCTTTGGAGGTTCTTTGGCTTATAATGATGGGTCGGGGAATTTTTTTTCTTTAACCTTACAGTTCCTTTGTGTATATATTATGGCTTTTGTTTTTCTGGTTTTATGGGGTTCCTGCTTGTGAAGATTTGTGTGTCTCTCAGTCTATATGTGTTTCTCATGCTTTTTCTTGGCTTCTCTCTTGTTTGCCCATTTCTTTTGTCCTATTCCAGTTTGTTTTTGTTTTATCTTATTTTATTATTTTTCTTTTGATGTCTGTTTGTGTTTTGAAGAGAGACAGAAATGGTGTGGATTCAGATAGGAGGAGAGGTGGGCAGGATACTGGAGGAGTTGCTGGAGGAAATGTAATCAGAATATATTGTGTGAAAAAGATCTATTTTCAGTAAAAGAAAAATTTAATCCTCCCTCTTTTCCTACTGTAATGTGTTTCAAAATAAACAATATCCATGTGTATCAGTTTACAATATTAATCTTTGCATACCTCCTGTGTGTCCATGAAAATGGAGAGTCCTGATGACTTGGTTATACAGAGGTTTTGAGCAACTCATAGATAAACATAAAAATCCTGCTTTTTATCTCTACATCCTCAGAAATTCAAAATATAGACCTCTCAGAACATGCTATATTACTAGGAAGAGAATATTATTCATATCAATCAACATCATTTCTGCAATCATATCAGTGGAACTGGATAAGTACACAAACTCACCAGCATGTCATATGGGTACATTCCAGTGAGACCATTCAATGTTTATTTTGCTGTATAATTATACTTTATAATACACACACATACACACACACACATACACAAATACATAAAAATAAAATTGTTTTCCCTTCATGGTCTGAAAATTGAATGATTGAATACAAGGACTTAACTATATTAGGCAAGTGCTATCACCAGACTAATTTTATAACAGCGACTTGATAAATTACCTAGGTTGGTTCTGAAATTGTGTGATCCTCCTGCCTCTATACCCTGTATCACCTACACCACTGGGCTGCACCATCAGGTTCAGCTTTGAACACTTTCACAATAAGAAATAACAGGTTTCAGACCTGAGATGATTGTTCTGGGGGTAAAGTGCTTTTGTGCCAGGCAATTGTGAGGAACAAAGTCAGGATAACCAGAGCACCTAGTAGACTTGATGTTCAGCTGTAATTCCAGCCAGGGAAGATGGCACCAGGAGACCCTTACGGCAAACTGGCTATTAAGACTAGCCATATCCGCAAACTTTGATATAATTAAGATCCCCAGCTTCCTGTGTCCTCTGCATATATCTTGTGGTTGTTTTGGCATGGTGTTTTTGTGGCTGTCCTAACATTGGAAGTGCGGGTGTCTCTGACTCCTTTGCCTGCTGTGGGAATGCTTGTTCTCATAATGGGTTGCCTTGTCATGACTTGATATGAGGGTTTGAGTATGGTTTTATTGCATCTTGTTGTGCTGTATTTGGTTGATATCCCTTGGAGGCCTGCTCTTTTCTGAAGGGAAACAGGAGCAGTGGTGGATCTGGAGGAGAACAGAAGTAGAGGGGAGGCACTGGGAGGAGTGGAGGGAGGTGGAACTGTGGATGGGATGTACTGTATGAGAGAAGGAGAGGTAAATAGTTAAAAAAAACAAAACCAACCTTTGAATGAAGTGGAAGAATTGAAGATGGTTTTTTCCTCCCTTCCTTCCTTCCTTCCTTCCTTCCTTCCTTCCTTCCTCCCTCCCTCCCTCCCTCCCTCCCTTCCTTCCTTCCTTTTCTTTCCTCCCCTTCTTCCTTCCTTCCTCTCTCTCTTTTTCTTTCTCCCATTTTCCTTCTTTTATGTCCATATTCCTTCCTCTTCATTTTATATGGGGTTCATATTTATAGAACATTTGATTATTTGTGTCCCTACATAATGAATACCTAGTTTCCATTTTTCTACCTCTATTAAACTCCTACTATATGCTACAAATAAGTAATGGTAATGAGTTATTATTAGAAATATGCATACTTCAATTATGTCTAATTTTTTTTGACAAGATCTTACTATGTAGCCCAGGGTGACATCACACACATGACTATTCTCCTAGACTTTACATTAGTCCAGATTGATTTTTTTGAATCCTGATGTCCTATATCTCACCTAGTGTATTGTAGTCATCTGGTGTTCATATCTTCTGCAGCTTATCTTGGTTGTAATAAAGAAAGAGAATCTGCTCTTCCTCATTTTTATGGCATTGACACCTTTGAACAATCCAGACCAGGAACACAGTAGTTTGCCTTTAAGTTGACATTGGTGTGATGTTTTTCTTAGTAATAACTGGATTAACATTTGGGAAAGAATATTACAGATATGATGACAGTCCCACTATAAAATAACAGGTTCCTATCAAGGTTGGTTATATTCATTATTCTCTAAATTAATATCCAAAATCAGTTCTCTAAATAATGTATAAGTAGTAGTTATTTTTTCCACATTTTGGCAAATATAGAATGGTATGTCTCCATGTTTTACAACACACTCAGAATAGATTCATCATCCTAAACATCTCCTACATTTTTTTCAGTTAAAGTATTTCTTTCTTCCCCTTATTCACTGACAACCAATGATTTCCATTTACATTTTTATAGTTTTGCTCTTTACAGCATTTCTTGTATGATTTTGGTGTTAGTTTGCTTCATTGAGGAGTATATACTCACTTTTGTCTACATAGGCTATGACCAAATGTTTCTCTTTACCACCAAATATTATTACATTGCATGATATACCATAATGTATTCATTTATTAAATGTCGTTTATGGTTTTTTTTCCCATTTAATGTGAGTGTGAATGAATATGTACTCAAATTTGTATAGAGGTTTCACATGGACATATCTGCAAGTGATTGAGGAAAATATTATAGGGGCATTTTTTTCTCAATCACATAGCTGTCTATCTCCATTTAACTCTAAGAGTAAGAGTATTGCCAACCTGTGGGATGTTGTGGTGCAGTCCTGTAATTCTAGCTCTCAGAAAATGAGCTAAGAAGCGTGTTGTGAGTTTTAGGACACTTTGGGACAAAGAATGAGACCAGGTACAGACTGCAAAACAATTAAGAATAGGTAATCTGATTTTCAGCCTTTGTTCATATGGTATGAATTTATATAAAAGCCCTGTTGGTTTGTATCCTAGTTAGTAATTGTTATTACCTAGCAATTGGATTTTTAGCAATGTAACAGATGCTTAATGATATTTCATAATTTATATTTGTAATTCTATTATATCACACTACTTATAATTATCTTTCATACATTATTGTTCTTTTACAGAAATTTTGATGAGATAGTATTTTAATAATTTTAAATTATTTTCTAATTGACCTATAAATGTTTTTATTTAATATACAAGTTATTTTTCATATGCCAATAAACTTTGCAAATGTGTTTTGGTAGCTTGTGATCTGACATTATAATTCCTAGAACTATCAGATTAGCCAGAGAAGTGGAAATAATAGCCTTCATTTATCAATGCATATATACTATTTGTCTGTTTTTATAGATGAAAGGATGAGTGGATAGTAAGATAAGAGCAGACCTAAATAAAGAGAAATATCATATGGAAGTAATTCATTCCATAATCTGCTTATTTTGGTGAAAGTAATCTGACTTGGATGGTTTAATCAATTCAGAAGTTCACTTCGTTCAGAAAAAAAAAACCAACTATCTTTCAAACATAAATGGCACTTAGGTTATTAATACATAAGCATCCTATGTTCTATTCAAGATGATGGAAAGATCTAAACAACAGTTTTTAGAATATGCCTTCTCAAAGGACCTTTTAATTGTCAAAAGAAGAGTCAAAAGAAAATGCTATTATGTATCAGTATTACAAAAGAAATGATAACAAACAGGAAAATGACTGTGAAAAGGAGAGTCCAGAGATAGAGTCACAAAACTAGGAACTTGAGATGCTTCAGAAAAGAACCAAAGTAAATCTGTAGAGTAAAGAATATTTTCAACATAATTTCAGTACAAAAGCATTGTGACAATTATGTGTCCATAAGCACATAGATGAATTCATGCATCTATTTTACACTTTAAAAAATATAAGTCAGGCTGGAGATACGACTCAGTGGGTAAAGAACTTGTTGAGAAAACATGAGAACCCGGGTTCAAATCCCCAGAACTTATACAAAGTCTGATGGTATAACATATATCGGTAATTCCATTGCTTTTATGTTGAGATTGGAGACAGGAAGAAGAGAATCCTTAGTTCTTGAGGGCTATCAAGACTAGACTACATAGTGGTAAATAACAGGAGACTGTGTCTCAAAGAAGGTAGGATAAGACCAAAGACACTCAAGGCTGTCCTCTGACCTCGAAACAAGGCAGTGGGATGCATGTGTGCTTTTTAACTGACACAAATAGGTACACATACATGCACACACATCCTCTACATACATACAAATAGATTTTTAATATAAATAAAAATAAGCCAGATGTAAAGGTAGCAAACTCAAGCACAAAATGTTTAGAATAACACAGATCAATAATTTTATGTGAATTCAGATTTAACAATGATTATTTAGATAGAGTATCCAAAAACATGAGTCATGAATATAGAACATCATTAGCTTTATTAAAAAATATATATTCCTTTCATTTATTTTTACTTATTTATGTTTTATTTGCAAGAGGGAAATCATACACGTTTTATTATTCTTCAGGTACATGCAGATCCTCATGAGAGACTAAAGATTTTTAAAAAGGAAACTTTTATATCTTTTCAGACAAAGACTCATAAATCTGTGAAAAAAAAGATAGGACAAAAGGCTAAAAG